AAAAACATGAGGTGGAACTATCATTTTGTGGAATTGTCAGAGTGTCAATTTTCAAAAAAATGAACAAAAAACCTTGTTCTTTCAAGTCAGTTCCCGGTGTTGGCATGCAAAGTGGTATTGATTATTACCTCATTTTCTATGTGAGCACATTTTTGAAAACCTCATGTGAGAGCGGGATTTTGTAATATTTATGGGTGGATCTATCATTATGTGGAGCAGTGGTAGAGTATTTACTAGCGAGTGGATTTGACACATTGTAACTCCGCCACTTTGAACCAGCTTCACGAATACCTCGCACGTTATGCAGCTTTGGACGCCACTTCCACCGCCCGCGCTGCTCTGACAAGGGAATGGTTTCAGCTTCCAATGGAACTCTGAATGGAGACTTTGGTACATCGATAGAGTCTCGAATCGTCTCCCGGACAAGTTGTGGGTGGTCAAAAGTTTGTTGTAAATGTAGTGTTGGCATGTGAGCACTGCTGAGAGGATGGCGTGACCTAGCGGTAAAGCCAACAGTTATTCCCCGCCCCCTCCCCTCTCCCCCTCCAGCCTCGACAGAAAATAGGGTCACTTGAAGGCACGGTCCGCGATAAAAAGCCTAGGTGATGTTGCAGAAATGTGAAAGAAAATTCGCCAAGTGAACCGTCTATGAAGAGAAAATGCCAAAGGGAACGTTGGAAACGCATTCGTCAGGCCTCCTCTAGCCTCAAACAACTGTAGAGGTAAAAGACCGAAAAGACCGCGCGCTGGGACGATTCCCGTCGGCTGATTCCCAGTAATGAACCCTATGACTCTACAAGAGACATTGAATGCATCCACTCCATGATACTTGCCCGGGAGCATTACTTTTGGCTGGAAGGCCGACTTTGGAGGCGGAGTCACTGGAAAAAGGGATGTACCACTGAAGCAACTTTGCGCCTTAATTCCTTTACCGTACAACTTTCCGCCGCGAAACTGGCACAGGGTTGTCCACTCCGGACCGCACTACCTTCCCACATAATTCGGCGCGCCTTAACAGGCGCTGCTTGATGCCTTTTGCAACCAAGGGCACAGGTATGGCGCCTAAACAAAGGTGCAACATGCCGACCTACAAGCCCATTGCAGCCTGCCCACACAGTCACATCAACGCTGGTACTCTACCGGTATATTTATGAAGTACAATTGAAGCGCTGCTACATGGATATATGAATATGTAAGTCAGCCGTATCTATCAAAGACGTCGTTGGCACGATGCCAACGGGAAACTCGTCCGAAAATGCTCGTCCGATGCCGTGCAGAAAAAGGTGTTTTTTTCCGCAGGTTTTTGGCCAGTTCAACTTCGCTTTTTCGTCATTTTCCCCACTATGTAGCACCCTGCTACTATTTTGAGCGAGCACAAAATAACCTTGCCTTATGTCTTCAAAAGGGCAAGAGGTGGTATGGTGACAAGTGGCGCGCTCACCACTCGCGCGGTCCTGGGTTCAAATCCGGGTCGACTCCCGCCCAGGCCAACCAAGCCTTCTACCCTCCGGGGACGGTAAATTGGTACCAGATTCGTCTGGGAGGATAAAACACTGACTTGTACATCGGCTGGCCACCGCAAGTCATTGGCCACATCGCATTCAATAAGCCACTACGATTCTGAATGGAAGTAGAATGCGTGCCGCATCCCACAAAGGGATTGATCAACGGCGAAGACTTTATCCTTTATCCTTTTATGTATTTAAAAACGGGAGAGGAAACGAGGGAGGGAGTTCCCTGAAGGGAGCAACGATGCTACCGTTAAGGCTGTTCTGGCGTCAGCACCCCCTTTCCAGCGTATGCTATTCGTTTTTTCCCATATGCTGGTCTGCAGGTGCGACCTAATGCTTTACAACTAATAAACAACTCACTATATCAACCATGTCCTTGATGTGACTGTAATAACACACATTTCTCGTTCGCTTCACAGGGTTGCGCGTTCATGAGAACCAGCCCACCTACCGCCTTCGTCCGCCTTGCCACGCCCGTCTAACTCCTACCTATTTAAACTCTTAAGTGTCAAGACCAGGTCCTGCTCGACCAGCACCATGAAAAGTCTACCCATCACTTTGGTTAGTTCATCGATTTGAAAATCATTAATGTATTGATCGATTCGATTGCAAAAGTGATTGTTTCTGAGTGTGACGGGTTGGCCTATATAATGTTTCTTTGCGCATCATCACTTGAACGCCATCGACCTTGAGAGCATTTCGCGTGCGTCGATCAAAAATACTACGTGATCACTTCAGTTATAAAATCAATACTGGATCAATCAATAGGCATAGGATAGCTCGTTTGTAAGTAAGGATATTTTTTGTGTCGTTAAGGTTTTTCTCACGATGTTGTCACTAAGTCATGGCGCGGACGAGACATATGACGACAATACGGCTGTGGTAACGGAAACGGTGGAGACGCATCAATGTGAGATTTCAGAAGTTCTCATTACTTTGCCCAGTTGATAAGTAACCTCGACTGTTCCGCGAACTCACACTGGGAAAAGTTCGTTGGGGAAAGGGAACACATAGGCTCGTTGAAAGGGGTGGAGGAGTTTGAGGAGAACTTAGAACTAATCGTTTTTGTTACCTCCTCCCCTGTTAGAATATTTTTTGTATTAGTGGTTATAAAGTGACAGAACGACCCTTCTGACACCAAACGGTTTGAAGGTCTAGTCCCCATTTGGCCCCAGTCCGGGCCAGCCCACCCTTCCCTTCACTCGGGTGCTGCAAATAAGTACCAGATCTGCCTGGGAGTATGAAAACACATCATCCTGTAGACCAAATTGTTCTGCTCGCGCCGAAAGCTCTGTTTTTCAACGTGCGATTTGTTCCGTCTAATGATTTTCAAATATCGATTAGTTGGAGAATTTTTCGATATTATAAAGGCCCTGATTGCATAGAATAAGTAAACGAGAGGAAAAGTGGCCAGCATTCATAAGAATGGGGTGACGCCATGTCTCCATATCCTTATCTCCTTGTAGCATGCTCGCGTAGGGATCGTATTTGAACCGCTGCGGAACGAGTTGCATTCGGCTCGTTAGATGTTATCTGCATTCGAAAAGTGGAGGAGCTTGAGAAGACTGAAGTGGACGTGTTGACTCTCATGGCCTCGGCGTAGTACATACCCATCTATATCCTACATCTATCCCCCCCCTCCACAGGTCCAATGGCCCTTCTTCTCAGGTTGGCTGTTTACAGAATTTTTTGTTCACAAAAAGGAGGCAGAAATCCGTGTGACGGCAAGTGAGTTTCACAGTGAGGGAGGAGGGGGCAAGCGTTAGGGATTTTGAATCGAGACCATTCTTTGATCGAGGAATAAACTACCTGACACAGCCTCAAGATACCCTTTCAAGTTGTGAGCATTCACACAGCACCTGAAGGCCCTTCAAGGCATTTTTGAACTGTACACGGGTAATTTCTGTGGCTGTCGGAGATTCAACGAAAGGAATTTCGTCCTCCCAAAAAGCCAACCTTTCGGTGACCAGAGCAACTCTGATTGTGAGTACAAACGTAGGTCAGGCGCTTATAAGCTTGGAGGGAGCCGAATATGTATGCTCTTGCCATCATACCGAATTTCGGAAGCTCTATGTATAAGAATGCCAAAGAACCTTGTCAACACCCTATAAGCTCTCTTCAAACTGGTCTAAGCGCTGGACATGGTGCAGAAAAAATGGCGGAATGTGTTCCAAAGACGCCAGCAACATTTCTCCAAGTTTAAATCTGAGTTCAAGGTGCCCGCTCAGGCCATTTAGGAACTGTAGGGTAGGGGCCCTGTGAAAAGAAAAAGAAAGATAAAGATACAAATAAGAGAAGCTTGGGCTACCCATCGTCTGATATTATTGGCGCCCTTAGAACCTCTGAGTTGTAGCCTGGCTTTTGGCTCACTTCTGCCCCATTGAGAAAAAGGCAGTTGCTGGAAACTCCACTAGGCGACCCTGCTTCAAACTAACCTGCTCTTTGTAGGTAAGACGAATGAGATCTGGATGGAGTGTGGCACATGCGAGAATAAATGCGGAGAACCACGAGTGGTAAGTATGTACACACTAGTTCGCTGCGACGGTTGGGCGTTGCAGGCAGTATGAGTGTAGTCACGCCCGTCAATGCCGTTCTCTGCCTTCTTGCTGAAAAGCGCATGCGACAAAAGTGGTAGAAGACGAGTAATACGACGGATATGATGCAGTATTGTCACTTGCCCGCTTCAGCAACTGGTGGAGAACGAGTTTGTCGCAGCGCCAGACGCCGCCGCACTGACACGCCTAACCGTCCGCAGCGAACTACACTTTCATACTCATTGCCCCATAACACATGATAATGGCCTTCAACATTAATTTTATCAAAATCGCTTGTCAAACTATAAACGAAGGAATTTCATGGTACGCCATGGATTCAACTTTCGATTCACAGTGATAATATTTGAATGCGGATGCGCGTCATGCTTCCTTGTGGCATAGGGTTTCCACCACCTGGAGGTTCTCTTTCAGACTTCCCCAGTGAAGCGAAAAGACAGGGGATTAGCGGCGTTATTCGAAGGTGCGCGATAAGCCTGAGTTAGCGCGCCGAATTTCTTATGTTTCCCCTCCCCTCCCGCCCCCCCCGCTCCCACTTAAACTGTCTCATCTGATCTGGTGTACCTGTATTCAGTGCAGTGATTTCTGTGGAAAACATTTTTAAAGGCAGAGTACTTGCACTGCGGACTGCAATGCGGGAGTAATTTCTATCATACTCGCTAGCAAGCTTCCTGTCGAACTCAATAGGTAGGAGGGCTACACCACAGAAGAAGGGTCACAGGCCTTACTCCGCTAATAGAATCACTGTGGACCGCCTCGTTAATTTCTAAAAGGTCACGATTTTTAAGGCCCTACTTTATTTTCGGCTGTCAGCTGTCGTGCTTAGATGTCACAAGATAGCTGAGTTATAGTTCAAAAGGACGAATCTCAGCAAGTCTTCTCTGAACTATAACTCAGCTATCTAGCTATAACTAAAACTAGCCTCTCATGCAAACCTGGGCGAGCTGAGGATTCGTGTCTTGCCTGAGGTCAAGCCCTCAAACTCGTAAGTCAGCATTTGTGACTACTTTCGGTATGCGGATCGCTTCAATCTATCAGCAATTACCATAGTAAAACCAGCGCAATACTCAGCTTATTTCAGCCCTGCCCACGGATGTGCAAGCCAGCCCGATGTCAGTGTCTGACACATAAAGGATTTCGACGAAATAAGAAAGGAGAATGTGTTAAATGCGACTGAAGTAGTAGCTTCCCACTTCATTCATTACATCGAACAAGTGCCTCTACAGCCGATAGGTGGGATGTGACAGATCACATTACCTTTCCGCAATGTAGAGCACCTTTCCATATGACACAAGGTGCCTTATGTGACAACTCTGTGTCAATTCAACTATTTTGTAGTCTTAATAAATTCATTTATTTCGAGTTGTTACTTTGTTTGACAAGTATCACGGAGGTATTGTAATTGGTATGCTCTTCAGGAGTGTTACGAGTGGAACGTTCACTTTCACTAATTAGGGCGTAGTCGGCCCTTGTACAGATCAGAAGATCTCTAATGCGGCATCGAATGGATGGAAGCTGCACCATCCATCCGAAGAGATTGTGTTACAGTAAGCCGATTTATCTAGTCCACACGTCGCGTCCTCGAGCTTGCTTATGCCGTTCCAGGGAGACCGCATGGGTTAACAAGGTTACACCCTTCACGTTGTGCGCGCCAATGTCACAGCTCCATCACCACATCTATACAAGTTTTCGTTGAAGCAAAGAGTGCTTTATTCACGTTTTCTGAGGTATCAGCGCGGTATATCCCTTTGATAGCTGAACGAGCTATGGAGCAACACAACTCGTACGCAGAACTAGCGACGACGGCCACGCCCACCTGCCGTGGCGACACACGATAAAACTGCCACATTTTCGTCGTCCCGTGTGTTGCAACTCCTCTCCTGTCAAGGAGATGCGGGTCCGCTAACGAGGCAGCACATTGATTTTTATGAGTAATCCATGAATTTCGATGATTCCTCAAAAGGTTCCCGAAATTCGGGTGTTATGGGACACACTTTCAGACGATCTAGGTGCACCAGTGACCGCGGTAGGTGAGAATATTGACTGATAAAAACAGATAAAAGGATATAGGACATACATGACCACGAAAAGCTTAGTATGGGCTGTCTGACGTATGCTATCCTTTTTGCACCCTACCTTCCTTCATGCGATATTGCCCAAAAATTTGACTGCCAAGCGACGAGGGAGTGGATTACACCTCCAACTAACTATCAGATGTAGCAGTTGCCACGTCCTCAAACAAATATTAGGTTGTTCGAAAAGTCCTGCGACACTTTGGACCAAATTTTTCGCACTAAATTTTCTGTCACCCAAAGACATCTCCAATCCACAAGGTAACCATAGTTGATGACTAGGACTAGTGCTCTGCTTTCTCACAGCTGCTCATTTCCATTCGCATAGAACTACGGCAACTGTGATA